AACACCAAGGTTGCTATGCCAAAGTTTTAACATTGACAAAAAGGCAAGCACAGCTCAGTCAGAACAAAAAATAGATCAAAATAAAATTTGTGCTGACCTCTGGTTTCTGTTTCCACAGGTATGGAGCTCAGAAGCTGCTACTCTGCCCTAACAACCAATAAAAAGCTGAGCAAGATGGAAAAACAATTAACAATTTGTCTTAGTTCTGTAGAAATGAGGTCAAGGGGCAAAGCACTGCCCACTAAATGAGGGAAGCAGATAGGCAGGGACAGAGAACCACAACTCACTCAAACAGAAACTCTGAGAAATCTCCACAGGAAAGCCCCACAGGAAACCAGAGAAAAGTATAGACAGTGATAGACAAATACATGAAGGTTCAGTATGGACATGACCAAGAGTGAAAACACAAGGTGTTCTCAGGCCCAGATCAGCCTCACACTTCCTTGAGTTTTACCTCAAGGAGCTTGACCAGCTCTCATAGTACAGCATCAGAGAAAAATTGCCTTGAGCAAACTGTCTTGAATTACCTCAGAGTATTCTGTTCTTATTAAAATCTGTCTTCAAGAGAAATTATTTAACCAGAATCCAATGTGCTGGGATTTAAAGAAGAAAGAAATGCAACTCTAGCCTGCTCTAGCTGCAGTTTCCTTGAATCCACCTTACTTTTGACTCCTAAAGACCTCTTTATAGCAGCTTCTTTTTATGCAATATCAGTACCCTCAATAGCTTTTTTGTTTGTTTGTTTGTTTTGTTACCAGGGATTGAACTCAGGACCTTGCGCTTGCTAAGCAGAGGCTTACATTGCTGAGCTATCTGCCCAGCTTCTTATAGCAGCTTCTTTTATCTCATAAGTACATGATGGACAGCTAACAAGACAAACTTAAAAGACATACTATGTAGAAAAAAAAAAAACAGTTTGAAGAGACAGTGACAGAAACAATCTCTGAATTTGAAGATATCCTCTCAACAAACAATTCTGACACAAGCGGACATCTGCATACAAAATATGTAATTTAATAACTCTAGACTCAGGTTGGGGACATAGCTCAGTGGTCCAAGTGCTTGCCTGACAAGTGCAAGTACCCAGGTTCTGTCCCCAGTACCACATGCCGTGCCTGCCTTGGAACCCTGGGTGTGCCACGCTGGCCACCAGAAAAGGGCTGGGATGGGATCATTTGGAGTCTGGGCTGAGTAGCAAAACCATGGACTTGAGTTGTTAATATCTGGGGAGAGAGAGAGAGAGAGAGAGAGAGAGAGAGAGAGAGAGAGAGAGAGAGATTTAAAAAAAATAACTAGACCTAATCAGGTGCCCTTCAAAAACATCAACTCAGAATAGATCCCAAGCCTAATGTAAAAAAGACTACAGGAAAGGCATGAGTCATAAAATAATCGATAAACTAGATTTCATTAAAATTATAGTTTTATGCACTATGAAGGAAACTTCCAAGAGAATAAAAAGACAAGTAAAGAATTGCAAAAAATTTATAAAAGCTATATGTCTGATAAAATAAATTATCAAAACTGTACAAAGAATGTTTAAATCTCAGCAATAAGAAACCAATCCAATTCAGAAATACAGCAGTGACATTAACAGATACATTGCTAAAATGTATTTATGTATTTTCATACATATTCATTGATCCATACATATATATTTCTATCTGTATTTGTATATTTATGTATATATGCCAAATAAAGTGTGGAAAGATGCTTCCCATCACCTATTATCAGGGAAATGCAAGTTAAAAAACAATTGAGTTATTAGCGCACATTTATTAGAATGGCTAAGCCCAGAGCCCTCATACAAGAAGTTCCATTCATTTCTAAGGAAAATGCACAGTGAGGGGCCCGGGGAGGTGGCTCATTGGAACAAGCGCTTCTCTGGCAAGTGCAAGGGCCTGAGTTCAATCCTTGGTTCTGCCAAAAAAAAAAAAGAAAAGAAAAAAGCAAGAAAGAAAATGCACAATGATACTGCCACTCTGTGAGATGGTTTGATGGTTTCTTACACGATAAAGTAGCTTACCCATATGACCCAGCAACTCCTTTTTGAAATATATATTAGTTGATAACAAAAACCTGTGTTGATGTTTATAATACATCTAATAAAAACGGCCTAAGCTTGGAAATAATCCAGATGTTCATTCAGAGGAAGATACATAAACTGTGGCATGTTCAGGCAGTGAAATATTATTCAGTAAGACGAGTAAATGGTTTGAAGCCATGGAAAGATATGGCAGAAATTTAAAGGGATTTTGCCAAGTGAAAGAGGCCAATTAGGGAATGCTATACAGTGTATGATTTAAACTACATGATGTTCTGAAAAAGGCAAAGTATAGAGCCAGTATAAAAGATCAGAAGTTTCCAAGGGTTAGAGGGAAAGGAGAATGAGTGGGTGGAGTTGGAGGATTTTTAGAGAATTGGAGCTATTGTTTATGAAGCCATAATAGTAAATGTATGCCATAGTGCACATAGCATATTTCTTAGAGCTTATAGATAATGTCCAACACCAAGAGCAAACCCTGATGTAAACTATGGCCTTTGGGGAATTGTAATAATATTTCTACATAGGTTCACTGATTGTAATAAATGTTCCATCTCAGTGTAGGATACTAAAAGCAGGACAAACTGTGACTATGTAAGGGCAGTAGGTGTATGGGGACACTCAGCTTGATCTTTATTTTTTTTTATTTTTTTTTTCTTGATCTTCTTGCAAAATGAAAACTTTCTGCTCATTTTTTCTATGAGGCTAAACTTTTCTAAAACACTGTCAATAAATAAATCAAATAGAGGACATCAAATAAATGTTTGACATCTCACATATCATTGATCATTTCAGCCTCCCAGTTGCTAAATCCCAAGGTCCATCCTTAAAAGTGTTTCAGGCATCCTTCCTCCCTTCACAAGCTTTCTCCAGCTCATTTTCTCCCTGTCCCTGAGTCCCTTCTGAAGCTGCCAGAGACCACATCCCGACTCTGGCCACTTTCAATTCCTCTAGTAGGCTCTTGTGAAGAATTCATTCCGCTTTAAAAATGGCATTTCATCAAGGAACTTTCTTAAACCTGGGGCCATTTTCGTGTTAACAGAAAAAGCTTTCAAGTAAGACAGTTGTTATTTCTGGAACAGTCTTCTAGATTAGTGGGTCTCAGGTTATTTTGCTCATAATAATCCTTGAATCACTGTAATACAATGTAGTTTATTTTAAAAGAACAGAAAATAGAAATAAATTTCTACTATGGCTCTTTCTACACCACCCCAATAAATTGTTACATTTGCATAATTTTATTTTCCACATAACAGATAGGTGGTCGTGGCCTTCTGGTATAATGTATGTAAATCCTGTGTCTTTTGTCTTAGTTTTCTCTCTTTCCAGTTTTCTATACAACATTTCTGCCCAGTGAGCTCCATGTGGAATCATGTGAAAATGGAAACTCCAAACCCAGTTTCAAGAGTCAAGTACATTCGTAGCTTTGGCAGACTTTTTTCAACCTTCAAGTTCAAAATTAGTTGAAATTATTTTTACTAGAGGGCCAATTAATGGGTCTTTATATAAAAATAGTGTAAATGTGGAAATGTTACCCACTATGCAAACTGTGCTATGTGGAAATATTAGTATTAAGAACAGAGAACTTGAGGATTTAAGAAAGAGTTCAGGGGGTCACAGGAAGAGGCTGTCTCTTTGCTGCTAAGTATTAATAAAGAGAAACTTGTTCTGCATCCCTGTTAGAGAGAATAAAAGTGAGATGGGAATCAGGAGGCATGGGAACCACCTCAGAACCTCCTGCTAGATTCCTCAATGCTCTGACATAACATATATATATATATATATGATTTTTTTGTATTTAGTGCAGGGTCTACAGGGTCTCACTACACAGATCAGACTTGTAGTAATCCTCCTGTTTTCAGCCTCCCAATTGATGAGATTACAGGTGCACGCAGCCACGCCCAGTCTCATTGACCCTCTCAATGTGCCCGAAGGGTGGGGCCTGCACAGCATGCCTGAGAATCGAATCCCGGTCACTGAGTCTGCCTAAACAGATGCTTTAATCCTCTGAGCTATCTGGAAAGCCCTTCTTCTGACATAACTTTTTTCTTGCTGAAACTAAAGTTGTGAAGCATTATACACACAGGAGTAGGGATGGCAAGGAGAATCCTCTCTAGGGGAGCTGCAGAAAGCTACGATGACCCTGATCTAGCAACAAGATGATAGTGCTGCAGACAGCTCCACCTCCCTTCCCACACTCTGCATATACGTATGTCTGTGTTTGTAGCAGCACAGCCTACACCTTGCGGGGGGGCCTCTATGTCAAACAACAGATGATTGCATAATGAAAATGAGGCATTAGGACACAATAGAATAGGATTCTGCTACAAAGATGCATAAGTGTGAAACTTTTGTAAGAAAACGGATCATGAAACCATGAGACCATGATATAAAGTGACATAAATGAAACACACAATCTTAAATATTGCATGGCTTCTCTTACATGAGAAATCCAAAATATAAATAATTTAATGAGCAAAATAAAAGATGGATAATAGGAAACAGGAAGATAGAGATTTTGCAAATGGGAAATAGATCTAGAGATGGGAGAAGAAAGAGGGGCAGAGGAAGTAAGAAAAGTTATGTATGATACTCTTGTACCAACACCCCATGATTAATGTTATCAATACGTAATGCAAACATATTATAAAATATACATGTAAAAAGAAATATATAAAATACTTCCTAAAAAAGAAAAAATGGATAATGTGGTCAATTTGTATTGAGACTAAGAGACCTAATGTCCTATTGTAAATGAGGGATGGTAGTTGTTCTTCAAAGAGAGAGGAACAACCAATTTTTTTGTAGGAAGACAGTTTTGATTAAAAGCAACCTACCAATTTGATAATTATAAGCAGAGAATTTGAGAAATTTTCTAGTCACAGCAGCTCTCATTTAGTCACAATAAGTTTGTCACAATGGTAGGAATGTGATTACCGACAAAGTAATACAGAATGTTTTAATGGACCACTCCACCTACGAAGCATAGCATATCTAAGCAACAGACTGTTGTTAAAGCAACACAGATTTCATTGTAAAGAACCAACTTAGAATTTTCCCTCTCTGAATAATTTTGAATAAAGTGTACCCGGAATACATGGTGTGGTATAAAACAAACAACTATTACCAGGACGAAGAAGAAACTCTTGATTTGGGCCCTAAATTCTTGATGGGCCCACATGTCAGGCCAAAGAGCCTTTATCAATTGAAAGATGACAACCAGCTGTAGCAAGAAAAGGATCACAACTGTGATCATCATAGTGACAATCATAGAGTAGTTTATGACAATGATTTCCTTCCGTTTGAGGTCTCTGTAGAACTCAAAGCATCGCTGTTGTTTGGAGTGACTTGGATCTGTGCCATATTGTAAAAAAAAAACTGTCAAAAAAATAAGGCCACCCACTGTCCAAATAATAATGCTCAAAGCTACCGCATAGTGCTTCTTCAACTGTTGCACTTGGAGTTTCTTGAAATAGATGAGTAATCGGAGTATGACAATGGCCACATAGAAAACAAAAGTGAAGTACATATGGCTGTAGATGATGCTGCTGACCAGCCGGCAAGCAAAAGATCCAAGGCTCCAGGTGGCTGAGAAGTAATAGCTGACGCGGAAGGGAAGGCTGACCAGCAGGATGGAGTGCAGTGCTATGATATTGAGGACGAATGTGGCAATCACTGATTGGCTGCTCCTTTTGGACATCATGCATGACATTAAAACCATTCCAGTAGTGCCACCAAGTAAAACCACACTGTAGAGTATTATCAAAATAACCCTGCAGTACATATCACATTGTCCTAGATCTGTGTTTGAGACATTCACCAGGACGCTTGCATTGATTACCTCCATGCTTTGCCATGAAAAGCTGAGAAGACCATAAAACTCTAAAACAAAAGTTTACAAAATTATGATTAATAAATTGTAGTTGAAACTATACAGTCTAAGAACTAATAGTATTGAATTTTGCAATCTTGGACAACTATAAATAAACCAGAAAATATTATTAGAGATGCTACCCAATAATTCAAACATACTGAAGAGATAAAAGAGAGTGAAATAAAATAGTAAAAATAAGTTTAAATGCTAAGCTAAGAATTGTGCTCCTAGCTATTCTACAAACAGGTATATTCCTATATATACATCAGGATAAAAATTAGAATGTGGTACATTAGCTTCAGGTGCAAAGCTTAAGGAAAAGTCAAACAACTCAGTAAGTGAATAAAATTTAATGCAATATTTTAAAACTAAAATGAATGTAAAAATTCATGATTAGCAAAATGACAAAATTTTAAATAAAAACAAGATCAGTACACATTCAATGCACCTTCAAGCCCAACTTTAAAAAGTTAGCTGCCCCATTGTCAAGCAAATTAATTCGGAATAATATAAAGAAAAGCACATAAAATTATATGTAATTATTGTTAGAAGATGCCCCAGACACCATTTTGGAGTAATTTGTGTAAGCAGCTTTCAGACAGGGAGCAGCCTATAATCAATGTCTCTTGCAGCCCTCTTGTCTTGAACGTGAGTCTTTTCTTGCACTTCTGTGTTAAAATTTGCTGTAAGGACACAGTTTAAAATTGGGTAATTCTTTATAGCTGAGAACAATTGAGATGGGGGAAAGGCGAAAATGTAAAGAAATATTTACATATGTATGATAGCTAAGATAATTGTACTCCTCATACTTCGTTGAAAAGAAGTTAGTACTTATATTTTTAATCAGTTTTGCATGTCTATATCTGAGCACTACATTGAAGATAACAATATAACAACATAAATTATAATAGCCATCATTAATTTCCTATCATCTTGGGTTGGAATTCTGTATCAGTTTTGTTTTTGTTTTATTCTTTCTTTTAAAAAAATGTGGGTGAGCTGCTATTTGGGTCTTGCGGGTGTGACTGTAAGGGACAATGATCCGTATCAGTAGGACACCAGAGCCCTGGGCACCTGCTGTTCTGCCAACAGGAGCCATCCCTGCCGTTGAATTGCTGAGGGTAGGGTGGGAGTGTCTTTGGATTCACAGAAAGTTATCTGTGAAGTGAGAAAGGTTGTGCTACCTGCATTAAAGAATTATTCAGAAATTCAATGAGATAGTGTCTTTGAGAAAGTTTACCTGAAAGAATAAATACAGTCTGAAAGGTAAAAAGATACAGTGAAAGGGAAGAACTTGTTCAATAGGGAGGAAAAACTGGGATGAGAAAAAGTACAAAAGAAAGAAAGGGAAAAGATACGTATATACGCAGGATAATTTGGATAATGACACTGCCAGTTTCTGCTGGCCTTTTGAAATGAGCAGTTACTTTTTTCTTTTTATTTTTTTTCTTTTTAATTTCTTATAATGTTTTTGTTATTGCTTAGTTTTTTCTTTAAAGCAATTGTGCATGTTTATATTTAGCAACCTAAACACCTAATTTGAAGATAACGGCCAGGGAGATGGCTCAGTGGAATAAGTGCTTCCCTGGCAAGCGCAAGAGTGTGAGTTCAATCCCCAATTCCGAAAATAAATGATTAAATAAATGTAAAAATATAAAAATAAAAAATTTCGAAACCCAGTCCTAGCCCAGGTCCGGTGAGTG